CCCGTGTGAGCAGCTCTCTGCCCGCCAGGCCCCGGCCCTGCTCGCCCACATCCACCTTCCAGGTCCGGTCCTGGGAGCCCCCACCCCGGGGCTCCGCGGTGGCTCTGGGGTCTGAGTCAGACAGAACTCACCCCAGGGGCTGACTTCCTCTAGGCAAGCACGCCCAGTCCCCTCGTTTAAAAAACAATTGTCGTCCATTTTCCTCGAGAAGCGAAACCAAACATGTTTGTTCAGCATCGACCGACAGGTCAACCGCGAAGCTTCAGCAGTGCCGTGACGCAGTGCCTCAGTCTCGGGGCACAAACTCCGGCCCCCGAAACCCGGCCTCCGTGGCCGTCCAACCCCCACCGTCACCTCTGAGCCCCGCTCAGGCCACACCGACTGGCCCCTCCTCGGAGCTGCAGGGAGACCGAGAGCGGCTCACGGAGGCCGGCGGGCTCTTCCAGCGGAGGGCCGGACGGCGGCCCTTGCGGGCTCTGCGGGCTGCGGCCGGGGTCCTGCTGGCCTGAGGCGGCCTGTGGAGGGTCAGGTCGTCTGGGGCGTGTCCCCCACAGAAGGAAGCGGGGGGCGTGGGGTGTCCCCCGAGGCCCCAGGGAGGACAGTGGGCCCGAGGCTGGGGTGGGTGGTGCCCCTGAGGCCCCAGCAGCCAGGACAGGGCTCCTCCACGTAACAGGCGCCTGGGAAGAGGCGCCTGGGAAGAGGCCCCTGGGTGGTGCAGGTGGCCGGTGGGGCCTGGTGGCCTGCAGGAAGGAGGTGGCCGCCTGAGCCCCCCGCTGGGAACCAGGCTCTTCCCAGCCAGCCGCAGCCCAGCGATTCCGGGGCGAGTTCCAGGGTGCAGCGTCGTATCGGGGGAGCCCGGGACGTCCACGCAGGTCAGAAGCCAGGTCTCGGCTTCCCCCTCCCGAAATAAAACCTGCGCCCCCCGCCCCCGGGGCCCGGCGGGGTCTCTCCCAGCCGCCCGGACGGGCCATGGGGCCAAAGGGCCCGAACGCGTCCCAGGGGTGGAAGGAAGTGGCCACAGGTCGGGGTCTGGACGCTGGGCTGGGGGCCGCCTGCTCCCCTGTGGCCGCGGAGAGCTGTGACCATCAGGCAGAGCGGCCGCGGGGGCCGCCAGAGATGTGCGGGGGGCGCGCGCGGCCCTCCGTGAGGACTGGGCCGTGCGTTTCACCTTGCTGTCGCCGCACCGCCTGCGCTCGGGAAGCCGGGCGCAGGGACCGTCCTCCCCGCCCCCGCTGTGCGACGCGGGAATTCGGGCCCCGAGCCGGGCGCCGCGGACCCCCGGCCCGACCCTGCTGTGGGCGGGCTGGAGGGGCGAGCTCCACGGAGACAATAAAAAGTACATGTTCTGGGCGCACAAAGGCGGCCTCAGAGAGAGCGGGGTGGGCGGAGAAGACTCGCGGTGAGAAGGGTGCAGAGAGAGCACCCCCCCCAGGGCCGGGCGGGCGGCCGCGTGCCTCTCACAGACGCAGGATTGCTGCCACAGCGAGTCCGCGGCCACACGAGGCCCTTTGTCTGCCTCCCCCTCCGGGCGGCCCCAGGCCGACTGCCGGGGGCAAAACCGCTCCCCAGACAAGGAGGGCCCTCTTCAGCCCGGGCCCACTCGGGCACATTCCTGGGCCGGGGCCCCTCCGCCGCGAGCGGCTGACCCAGGACACGCAGGCTCCGCCAGCTGAGGAAGCCGTGCGTGCGCAGGACACCGTTCGGGGAAACTGAGGCAGCCGACCCCGGGGAAGCCGGCGTCCACAGGGGCAGGCCTCCGGGGCAGCAGGGGACCGGCGAGAAGGGGCAGGGAGACAGGCCACCGCGGCCGTGACGAGACAGCGGAGGCCCCGGGACTCGGAGCAGGGCCCACGGGCTGGGACGCCCCGGAGAGCGGGTGGGCACGTCTGTGCTTGGTGCCTGGTCCGGGAGGGCCTCTGGGGGGGGGGGGGGGGGCGTGCACTGGGCTTGGGGGGGCTTGCACTGGGAAACGTGGTTCTGGGGGTCTCAGCGGTGTGTGGGCCGAACCCACGAGGGACCGAAGCACAGCGAGCCTCGGAGCCACAGGGAACCCGGCCGGCGGCGGCGGAGGGGAGGAGAGGTGCCAGGGTAGCCCGGCCCGCCCTGTGGGGAGAGGTCGGGGGTGGAGGAGCCCCCGGAGGCGGCCCCGGCATGGTGGGGGCGGCCGGACACCAGACACGGGGGCCTTCGAAGCGGGAGCCCCTCGGTCACGACGGCTGTCAGTCCCCTCCAACAGTGGGCACCGCCCCCCAATGTCGCGTCCTGCTCGGTGGCGTCGGCCCCTCGCAGGCTGGAGCCCACCCACCCAAGGTTTCTGGGGCTCGTTCTCGCCACCACGCGAGGGGATCGGGTTTGTCTCTGAGGGGGCGCCCCGGCCGACCCCGGCCCCGGCACGCTGCCCCCACGTTCCTGGGGAGTCACACCCGAGCCCCACGGGCCCGGCCCCAGGGTCCGTCTCAGTCGCAGCCGGGCACCGGCTTTCACGTGACGGCGGCTGACATCAACTCGCAAACTAAAACGGCCCTCGGCCCCCCAGGGCACAGTGCATCCGCAGATTCGGCTCTCCCCGCGCCCCCTGTGCGCGGGAGGAGCTGCTCTCCGGGCACAAGCGCCCTTCCCTGCGCCTCGCGGACCACCGCGCCCAGGGCCGCAGGGCCCCGCTGCGGAGGGCATGTCAGGATTCACTGCGCGCCTGCTCGGCTGATGCGCCGGACCCGGCACAATGCCGGGCTGCCCTCCCCCGAGTTGGCACGGGCTCCACAGGCCCCGGAACCCAGCAGGGGGCCAGGGGCGGGGTGGGGGGGTCGGGCTGTCTCTGGGCAGAACGGCAGATCGGCTCTGCGGCCCTGCAGACGCCTGCAGCCCCGGGCTGGCCGGCTGACCGGCGTCCCCCCGGGGCTGAGGGGGGTCCGTGGGCGTGGCGGACACGCGTGTCCTGCGCGTGGCATCTCCGAGGCCTGGGCCTGGCTGCGTGGGGCACGCGTGACCCCTCTCCCGGGAGAGGTCACGGCGGTGGCCTTGTGTGCTCTCACCGGCGACGCCCCGACACCCGTGGGGAGGAAGCGACGGCCCCGCAAAGAGGGGCCGTGCGCCGGTGGCCTGGGGACCGTCCCTCACGGGGCGGCCGCGTGACCCCCTGGTGCTGCTGGGCCTTCAGCCACTGGCACACGGGGGGAGCCTGTGCCGTGGACGCGTGGCCACTGGGACCCCAGATGTGCCAGAGGGAAGGCCCTGCCCACCCTCGGGTGTGGCCCCCCACCTGCAGCTCGTCCCGCTTCTGCCCCGCCCACCTGGGCTCACCTGTTGCCGCGGCCTCCCACCTCCCCCCGCCCCCGTCCCCGCCCCATGCTCCCACCTCAGGCCCAGGCCGCTCTGCTTCTCCCTGGTGATGCCCCCAGGCTGACTGCCCCGGCCGGGCCCCGGGGTCCCTCCCTCCGCAGGCGCGCCAGCCCACCCCTGGGCGCCACAGCTCGGTCCCAGGTCCCCCGACCTCCCTCCAGGGGCCTCGCTGACCCCCGTCCTGCTCTGTGTCCCCTCACACTGTCACGTGGTGGGAATGACACATCACACCCACTTCCTGCGGCTGTGGCACCGACCACCTCGGGCGGGCGACCCGGAGCCTGGGGCCGGAGACCGCAGGGCTGGGGCCGGGCTGCCGGCGGGACCGGGCTCCCCGCAGGCCCCAGGCCAGGGCCCCGCCTTCCCCCTTCCCATGCTCCCGGCAGCCACGCACCCCGTGTCCTGCAGACGGGTCAGCTCGGTGCCCGTGGGCATCATCCCCGGCCGCTTCCCCGGGTGTCTGGGTCCCGGGCCCCCCGGCCCCCCCCAGAAGGGCGCTGGTCCCTGGGCCGGCCGGGGGCCCACTCCACGCCTGTCTGGCCCTGCGTGAGCTCGATGACACCTGCAGGCGGCCCTGTTTCCCGACAAGGTCACCTTCATGGCATCCAAGGGTTAGGACGGGGGCCATCCTGTTTGGGGGGTGTCATTCAACCCCACGTGCATTTTATCTGGGTCCATGAGACGAGGTCCGCTCGTGCATCACTGCCCACCGAGCACCTAGCCCAGGGAGGCGCACTTCCTGGGCGCTGGGGAAGGGCGGGTGGGCGAATGACTGGGTGCGTGGGTGGCTGAGTGGGTGGGGGGATGGGTGGGGGGATGGGTGGGCGGGCCGGGGAACGGCTGGATGCTGCTGGGTAAACGCCCGCGCCCAGACTGTTGGCGGTCGGGTGGGCGAGCCCCCCGCCACCCCGCCGGAGTGGTAGTGAACCGCAGGGGTAACGAACCGGGGCGAGGGGGGGGGAGTGGTGAGAACAAACGGACTCTCGTTCACCCCGAGCTCCGCACTCGAGAGCGAACGGGTGGGTGGGCGGCCGCTCCTGCAGGAACCACTGTGGTTTTCTGTAAAACCACGGGGACGGGGGCCGAGCGAGAGGCCCCGTCCCCCCTCCAGCGTCCCCACTGCCGTGCGGCTGGGGTGGGGGGAGGGGGCGGCTGGGCCAGAGTCCTGAGTGGGAGTCTCTGGGGCCCAAGCCCCTGTGGGACAGACCCCCACACGGAACTCTGAGCCCCCGCTTCCTTAAGGCAGGGGGGCCCCGGCTGCCGGACGCCCCCCTCGACGGGAACGCTAAAACTGCCTTCTGTCCCACGATCGCCCCCAGCGCTCTGGCCTGCGCCCCAGTGGCTTCCCTGAGAGGCGCTGGCCGTCCTGCCAGGCCCCTCTGGATGGGGCAGGGCCGACCCCCTGGGGCGTCGGATGGGACCCCAGGGGCTCCACACGCCTCCCCGGGGGGCCCCAAATGTGGAGGAACGGGGTGCTCCCGGGCCTCTGGGGCACGGCGCTGCTGAGGGGCGCCCAGCCCAGGCCCGTGCCGGGCGGTCTGGGCGGCCGCGGCGCTCCGGGGCAGGGCGCAGCCCGCGGGTTTTGTAGGGGGCCGGCGGGCGGGCCGTGAAAGGGGCATTGTCCCGCGGCGCGGCCGCACTCACTCCCCTGTTGTCCGCAGGAGAGGCAGATGTGGCCCCGGACAATGGCAGCCCCTCTCAGGGCCCAGCGGTGACAGACTCCAAGCGCACAGTGCACCCGAAGAATGCCTGGCCGGACGCCAGCCCAGCTGACCCCGGGGGCCGCCCCCACTTGGTCCGCCTCTTCTCCCGAGACGCCCCGGGGCGGGAGGACAACACCTTCAAAGACAGGCCCTCGGAGTCCGAGGAGCTGCAGACCATCCAGGAGGACAGCGCGGTGGCCGCGGGGCCCCGGACGTGATGGCGGCCCAGAAGAGACCCTCCCAGAGGCACGGGGCCAAGCACCTGGCCTCCACCGGCCCCATGGACCACGCCCGGCAGGTCTTCCTGCCGCGGCCCCGGGACACGGGCATCCTCGACTCCCTGGGGCGCTTCTTTGGAGGTGACAGGGGTGCGCCCAAGCGGGGCTCGGGCAAGGTGAGCTCTGAGGAGTCGGGAGCGCGCCGGTCTAACTGCAGCCGGAGGGGGCGCGGCCGTGCCCCCCCTCGCAGGACTTGCCGCCAGCCCGCGGGTGCCGTCTCCGCCGGAAAGGCTCCCGTACCCGCGGGGGCCGGGGCGGCTGCCGCCCTGCGGGTGCCCGGACTCTGGGACTTCTGCACCCTGGGGCGGAGGGGTGGGCGGGTGGGTCTCGGGGCCGGTCCGTCCTCGGGGGGCTCCGGCGTCTTACTCTTGGGCTTTCTGGCTGCTTTGGCTTGTGCTGCCTGGGCTGGGCTCTGACGCCCAGTGGTGCACGTCCTGCCTGGGACTGGGGGCTGCGTGTCGTCCGCAACAACAGTGCAACTGAAGGCCGTGGGGCCTGCGGGGTGTTGGGGTGCGCCGTGGGCGAGCCCCCCCCCCTTGCCGGGGCCGTGCAGGGGAGCGCAGAGGAGGGAGAAGCGTGTGTGTGTGTGTGTGTGTCTCTGAATCAAAGCTGCGTTACTCTGTGATCCGTCCATTGGCACCGGGACTCTGCGGCCCTTCCCCGCTGAGCTGCTCTGCAGACAGAAACGCGTCTCGGGGAAGACAGCTCCTGCCGGGGCCCCTCCCCGCAGCCCACAGCAGGGCCGGGAGCCGGGTGTGAGCAGGTCCCAGGGGGCCGCGTGCCAGGGGCCCCCGGGGAATGCGAGGCTGGTCGCTCGGCTTGGCGGTGCGTGGGGCGGGCTGCGTGGCGGGGACGGAGAGAGGCTTGGGCTTCCAGACACGGGGCTTGCTGAGCTCAAGCAGGGGCCGCCCTGATGCTGCTCCTCCTCCGGCTGGGGCCCCCGAGGGCCTGCAGCAATGCGAGAGGCCCCCGGGGGGGGGCGCGTGCAGCTGGCCCCCCCCCCGGGAGCAGCGCCCCAGAAAGCCCAGGCTGCTCAGAGCTGGCGAGTTTCTGAAACCTGCTTTTAAGTGTGTGACCGCCACGCCGCAGGGACCGGTGACCGTAACATGGCTGAGGATGCCCGGTGCCTGTTCCGCCTGCGGGGCGGGAGTCACGGGCCCGGGTTTCAGGCGCCCGCTGCGTCCTTGCGTCCACCCGGAGTCCAGGTCTCTTACGGGCCCCTTGTCGTGACGCTGGGCGAATGACACTTGGTGTGTATTGAGGGCTTACAGAATCCATTTCCTGGTTGGTTCTTTTCTGGGTCTATATGTAGCCTTTTCGCTTTCCTCTGGGGCCGGCTTCTGCCCCCGGAGTGCGGGTCCTCTGACCCATTTCCAATGCCAGCGCCAGCCAGCGCCGCTCTGCCAGCCCGGCCCCCGCCCGGCAGACCCCGGCTGCGAGCAAGTGAGGGTGCACTCCTCCCCGGCCACGCAGCCCACAGGCCCGCGGCGCCTTCCGACCCTCACACTTTCTGCTAAACTGAGGAGCAGGCAACATATGTTTAAACTGTGCAAAAAAAAAGAGAAAAAAAGATTTAAATGTCTGAAGAGCATCTATTATGAAATAAGCTTCATTTAATGTCAGAGTCTAAGTTCAAATAAAACTGTGGAAGCATCTGTCTGCAGCGGCGTGACCTGATGGCAAAGTGGGTGCGTGCGCACACGGGTTTTCCTCCGTCCTGGGGAGTCCCGCCTCTGCTGCTCCGCGCCTCCGATACTTTCAGGGGAAAGAAGGTTCCGCTTCCAGAGGCAGGCCCCTCCTAGGCGAACAGATTGATTCTCAGGGGTCTGGGAAAACCAGAACGTTTTTACAGGATCCTTAAACGCGGACACAAGGTTTGAGCGGTTGTTTTGGACTTTAGAAAGTACCGGTTGTGTTCACTACTGACTGTTGAATGAAGGTTTTAAAGGCCCAGGCGTTGCCCCCTGGGGGCCACGCGTCATCAGTCAGGGGCTGCGGTGTCACCGCTCGGCGGCTCCCCGAAAGCTCAGGGTTGGGACGCCGCCCCTCGTGGGGTGTGTGGACTCCTGGCCAAGGTCCTTCCACTCCCCTGGTGGGGGTGTGGCTGCGTTTGCTCTGAAGCACAAGGTCGGGGAGCCGCACGCCCCAGACGCACAGGCCCCCAACGCACAGGCCCCCGATGGCCCCGGGAGCCCCGGGGCGGAGAGGGTGGGCCGCCCAGGCTCCGGTTCCGATGCTGTGTTTGCTGGGCTCTGCCTGGGCGTCAGCAGAGCCTCCCCCTTCTGTGCTGCCGGCGTCCTGGGGCGGAGGCTGGGGAAGAGGGGAACCCACAGGGCTGGCCGTGCACTGAGGCATTCCCCGGGTCCAAGGCCGTTGTCGGTTCAGGGGCCCAGGGTGCTCACAGGCGCCCACAGGCCAGGGGGGCTGGCAGCACCCACGGGCGAGTGTGCTGGGACGCCGCTGTTCTGGGTGCCCGAGAGAGCAGGGTTCGTGCAGGGTTCCTGCAGGGCTGGGCCGGCCCGCTCCGGGGGGCCACCAGTGCAGGGCGGGGGCTCTCCTGCCCCGGGGCCCCCACCCTCCCTGGGCCTGGGCCTGGGCCTGGGTCTGGGCCAGCACGGCCCCCAGTCCTGGGAATGCACCCCCCCCCCCGCCCCGGGGGCGGGGACCTGACATTCAAGGAAAGAGCTTTGTGCAGCCCGGGAGGAGGAGGCGGGGTCCTCTGAGAGCCGCACTGAGAAGGGCATTGACGGAGAAAGCGCTCTTTGTTGGGGGAGGAGGGGAGGCTGCTGCTGGCCCGGGGCCAGCCCCCCTGCCCCCCACCTCCTGGAATGTGGGGCTTGGGAGGGGTGCCGGGCAATGAGGGCAAAGGTCAAAGTGCACGCTCTGTGTGGCAAGGGTGGCCCTCCGCGGCCATGTGCTCCCCGCCTGTCCCCCCGGAACCTGCACTGCGGGCCTCACTCCTGGGCGGGGGGCCGAGGCCGCCTGGGCCTCGCCGACCAAACCCCAGACACACACCCAGGCTGCACAAAGGCGCTCATCCCTCTCTCCTGGTCTCCCGGCGGGAAGGGCCACCAGACAGTCACAACTGGTGGCAGGTTCGGGGCGGGAACTCGGGGGAGATCCGGGTGTCTGTCCCCCGAGTCGGGCACCTCCCGAGAGGCGTCCAGGCCGGCTCCGGTCCCGGCCTCACCCCCGTTCCCGTCCCCCCATCTGCTTTCCCCTCTCGCGCCGCGGACCAGCGCTCCCGCTCCCACCGGGGCCTCTGACGCGCGATGGTCCTGTCAGGCCAGGGCATTGCCGGCTGATGCTGGGGGCGAAGTCGCTTTGCGGGTTAACCAGTGTTCTGCTCCCCGACCTTTTCCCCCCTAGTTTTAGCCTCACGCAGCCACGTCTCAGTGCCACGGTAGCTCGGCTCCCCCTTGGGGCTGCGACATCCTGACCGTGGACGGTGCCGGGCAGCCCCGCGGGGAGGGCGGAGTGGGGACGGGCAGGGGGACGCAGCGGGAAGCCTGAGTGCCGCCGCCCCCACGGCGGGGGCCTGGAGCCCCGGGGTCACTCGCAGTGGCAGCGACTCCCCCCCGCCGCCTCCGCCCAGGGGGTGGCCCCCCGGAGTGAGTCTCTGGGCCACGGCCCGGCCACTCGGAGCATCCGCTTGCCCAGAGACCTTTCTAGAGAAAGGACGGGTGTGCTGGCAGGGGTGCCCGTCCCTGGGGACACCCTGCAGGAGTTCCTTCCGAAGTGCCCCCCCAGCCCATGCTGCTCCGTGGTTTCCCCGGCTCTGCCACCAGCTGTCGACACCGTGTCCTGCCCCCTCCCCACGCCCTCGGCCGTCCGTCCTGGGTCAGAATGTCCCCCCAGCCACCGCACCCCAGGCTGGCAGGGGTCTCGCCGCGCCCGCTGAGCCCTTTGTAAACTCTGTTGATGTGTCGACCCGGGGCCGCCTCCTGGTGAGGGCACGCCAGTGCGACTGTGTGGTGAGATCTCCGTTTGCATCTATGTCTCCCTTTTGACACGCAAATTAAACAGTTTAACAGACCGAGTGAGCCTGGTGGACTGATCTCGTGTGAGTGTTTCTGTCGCCCTCCTTGGCGCCCCTCGCTCGCTCAGCACGCTTGTTGCTGGTGTTCCCCCGGCCGCGGACCAGCCGCCGGCAGGTGAGTCGCGCCCACCCCGCTCGCGCACCGACGCTGCCCGGGCCGCCCTCCTCACCAGACCCCGGCGTGCGTGCGCACCCGGTGGGGGTGAGCAAGTGCGGGGTCCAGGACGTGCGAGGACCCGGGGGCTGGAGCCCGGGAGACCAGGGGCGAGCTCGGGGCCTGGGCGCAGGTGGGGGCAGCCGAGACCCACCAGCTCTGACCCGGCTCCTGCCCCGGGCGCACGGCGTTGCCGGCGGCCCCGGCCTCACCGCCCCCTGGTTCTCCCCGAGCTCCCCCCCTCCCCCCGCATGTCCCTCTGGCATCCCTGACTCCGGGCCACAGGCGACTCGGCCGGGGGCTGGGGAGCTTGTCCCGACCCCTGACCCCTGAGGGGCCTGTGCCCTGTGGGGAAGCCTCGCCCGGGGCCGAGGGACTCGCTGGGAGCGGAGGGCGTTTGGGGAACCGCGGGAAATCTCCCTGAGACCCACGCGGTGCTGTGCTGGGGTCCCCGAGACCGCCACGCACACACGCAAACTCTCCAGAATCCCCCAGCGTGACAGAAAATGGCAAAGAGGGAGGAGAGGTGGAGACAGCCCCCCCCCGAGGGAACCCCACCAGTGTGGGCCTCACAAGCACGGCTGCTGCGTGGGGCTGCCCCCCACCCCTGGTCCCGGTCCCCAGCCCTCCTCAGGGGCAGGGTCTGTGCCCACGCCTCCCGGTACCATCCCCTCCCCTTCCGGGCACCTGGACAGCCAGCGGTCCTCCTCCTGCCCCGCTGGGACAGGCGGCCGCAGGGGCCGGGGGCTCAGCCGCCTCTGCCGACCCCCGGCCAGTCCCCAGGGCCGGGCCTGAGGCCCGCAGCCCGTCCATCCCCCACCCACACCCCACCCGCAGGGCTGCACCCCCGACGTCCCCTGTGACTGCCGGGTGCCCAGCCGCCCACAGGGCACGTCTCAGAGACGCTCCCGCCCGTGAGGAAGGGGCGTGTCCCTCAGCAGGGGGGAGGGGGAGAGGTGCGGTGGGAAGCCACCCCCGGCCCACGTGTGCGGTGCAGACACGCCTGTGTCCCCCCCCCGCCAAGGGTCACCGCTCCCCGAGGGGACACCAGGCCCCCTCTCGGCAGAGACGCCACAGGCTCGGCCGTGGTGCGGACCCACGGCGAGAAGCCGTCTCCCCCGTGCGCGCCCCCAGCACCACCGGCGGGAGCTCCCCGTGCGGCCGGTGCAGTGCACCCCCCGGACCCCGACACCCGGGCGAGCTGTGGGACCAAGCTCGCGCCCCACGGACTTGCCTTGGGACCCCAGGGGGCTCGCTTTGCAGAGATGTTTCTGGAATGTGATGACGCGTCTCCGTGTCACAAGTACAGCTCGTTTCCACAAATACCCAGCAGTTAACCTGTTTACTAGAAGTCTGCTTCACCTGCAGCCAGTTCCACACCCCCTGGGGCCCGTGGCTTTGACTCGGCAGCCTGAGCACAGCAGGGCCCTCCCTCCCCCTCCCCCTCTCTCCCTCCCCCTCCCTCCCTCCTTCTCTTTCCCCCTCTCTCTCTCCCCCCTCTCTCTCTCCCACCCTCCCTCTCCCTCCCTCTCTCCCTCCCTCCTCCTTCCCTCTCTCCCTCTCCCCCTCTCCCTCCCTCTCTCTCTCTCTCCCTCTCTCTCTCTCTCTCTCTCTCCCTCCTTCCCTCCCTCTCTCTCTCCATCCCCCTTTCGCTGGGGACAGTCTAAAGGGAGGGACTTCCAGGCCGCTGACTCGGGTCCTGTAACAACACCGTCTGGACCACGCCACCCAGAGAGGGCAGGGCCCGTCCCGGAGCTGTGCCAATAGCTGCAGACACGGTCCCAGGAGATCTGTGACCACAGAGCCATGGCCACCGAGTCGCTCCCCCTGAGGAGCCTCAAGTCCTGTTAACGCGAGGCTCCCGCATGTCACGCTCGACCAGGAGGGACCCCCGCGGGGCTGGCCGGACCGGGCCTGCGCACCTGGTGCTGCTGACCCGACGTCCTTCCCCCGAGGGGGCCCGGGCGTGACAGCTGCCCGTCACCCTGCAGAGCAGGTGCGGCCTCACTCACAGCAGCGGGCGCACCTGCCGTGAAGGAAAGCACAGCAAAGCTCTGTCCATAAACTGATGTGACCTTCACTGGTTCCAGTTTAGACGTCGAACAGCCCCTCAGGGCTTTGCACTGGCCGGGAGCCGCTCTCTCCCCTTTTCCCTGAGACCCCGCAGGCAGAACCTGGCCGCACACTTGGGTGCCGGCCTCGGGGCAGACGCCGCAGGAGAGAGCTTCCTCCCGTTCCTCCTCCTCTGACGGCCACCACCCTGAGTCCTCGGCGTCCCCTTCCCCGTGTGCCCTCCACCCCCACTCCCGCCCAGCACCCGTCCATCTGCACCAGGGCCCTCTGACGCCCCGCCCGCCCCGCCGCCTGGGGCCCGGCCACCCCGGCAGGAGGGGGCGCCGCTGGAGGGCCTCGCGGACTCAACCGGCCACTCTGTGTCCCTCCGGCAGGTTCCCTGGCTGACGCAGGGCAGGAGCCCTCTGCCCGCTCATGCCCGCGGCCGGCCCGGGCTGTGCAACATGTACAAGGTGAGTCACGCGCCGGCCCCCGGCTCCTCGGCTCGGCCACGGGCTGCGGGCCTGCGTCCCCCGCAGTCCCCTGTCCACACGGGCGTGTCTGGGGCGCCGTCGGGGGTGCCGAGGGCCTCCCTCCCGCAGTGTCTGTACGTCGCATTCGGCAGAGCGAGGGGCAGCCCCCCGGGAAAGCCGGCAAAGGACAAGGGGTGGAGACGGAGGGGGGTCCTCGGCGGGCCCGCATGGCTCGGGACTGGCGGGTCGGGTCCAGGCAGCGGGCAGGGGGCCCTCACAAACGGTGGTCGGAGTAAACTCTCACGAGGACAGTGCCTTGCGCTGTGGTCACAGGGGCTGCGCTGTGTGGAGCTGGCGGCCACAGCTGTCACCGGTCCTCTGCCTCCAGGCGTAGTGACGAGTGGACGGCCGGGAGGAAGGGGACAGTGACTCATGGGGGTCAGGCTGCTGCTGATGCCCAGCAGGCAGCCACCACAGGCCCCCGTCCCCATGACACTCGGGCGACGGCAGGTGCTGGGCTTGGGCGCCCGGGGAAACTCGGGTGGGACAGGCGGGACACACACTGTTCCGACGTGATGGGCGAGCCCAGGTGGGGGGCAGGCCGAGCCTGGGGGAGGGGGCAGTGCTCCTCCTCAAAGGCGCCGAAGGCTGTGCCCGGTGCTGAGGGGCTCTGTGGGGGACTACGGGGCCCCCACTCCAGGGCAGACAGTCTCGGGGGCGGTGCCTCTGGGGCAGCGAGGGGAGCCGGGCCTGGCAGGGGGCGGGCAGGCGGTCTGGAGCCCGTGCCCGCAGCGGGGACCCTGTCACCTGACTCCGCAGAGGTGCCTGTGGGCTGCCAGCTTCCTGGCAGGGGCCCAGCAGTTAAGCCGCAGAGTGGGGGGGTATCCCTCTGTCCCCCCCACCCCAGAGACCCTGGAGGTTGGACGGGACACCTGTGCTCCTCCTGAACCGAGTCTCACGCGTGGCCGTGCGTGCTTTCCCGGGGCTCTCAGGGTCCCCTTTGTGGGGGCGCCCCCCGCCCCCACAGGAAGTTCTGCAGGGTCTTCAAGGACCCACGTCCCTGGGGAGAGACTTCCTGGGCAGCAGGAGACCCAGCATGTGCCCAGGCCTCGCACAGGGCTCTGCCCCGCACCCCAGGCTGTGACCCTGCCTTGGGGGTGGGAGGGGCGCACACGCGAACACAGGAAACAAGGTTCGGGCAGTGAAGGGCAGGCTGGAGACGCTAGGACTCCGAGGGAGAAACCCACAAGGGGGCGGCCCCTCCACGGCAAACCCCCGGACCCCGTTCGCCCCGGCCAGCTGGTCCGAGCAGCCCCGAGCCCCACCCACAGCCAGCCCAGGCGGGCAGCCGGGGCCCGCAGGCTGCAGCCAGGACCCCCCACTGCACAGACCCGAGGGGTCAAGGACACAGACCGCCGCGTCGTGGGGTAGGGATGGGGGTCCTCACGTCACAGGCCCCACGGCCCCTCCAGGCTGTCCGTCTCCGTGAGCCTCCTGCCCTCCCCACGCCGCCGCCCCCGCGTTTCCAATATCAGAGAAGAAACGAGGCATCTGAACAGGCAGCAGGTGCCCTGGAATTTCCACCCACGTCAAAGGGTCGCTGGTGGGTTTCCCCAGCAACAGAACAAAGCCTGCATGGCCTCAATGCAGCACAGCTCTCTCCGAAGAAACCGGAAAACCCACGGCCTTCACTCATCCCACTCGGGTCCGTGACTCAGCAGCAAGCGTATTTCTGAGCGGGCCAAGGGCCCAGGCAGCCCGCGTGGCCCCCACGGGAAGGCCTTCTCTGCCGGCCACCCACCCGCCAGAAACACCCGCGAACACCCAGCTCGCTGCTGAGACGCCGCGGAAACCCCTCCGCCCGCGGTGGGGCGGCGCTTCCTGCAACACCCCGACCGCCACCCACGGGCGCCGGGGAACCACCCGCGGGGCCGGCGACTTCTCGGAAGAGCCAGGGCGTCCTGGGGCCGGCCCGAGGGAGGGGGACCTCCAGGCCCGCGCCGAGTCCGTGGGCACCGACTCGGAAGGGGCATCGCAGCTCAGCTTGCAGGTCGTCCCCGCCCTGCCACGTGCCACCCCAAACCCACGCCGCTGGAACCGCCAGTCAGTTCCCTGGCGCCTGGTCCGCGCCGGGCGAGGGCCGTGGGGCCGTGAGGACCGTCCTGGCCGTGGCCGCAGGAGGCCCAGCTGCTCAGGCCTCCGCCCGGCCTCGTCCTGGAGACCGGGGGCGGCCGGGAGGTGGCGGAGCCGGCCCGCAGGAGAGGGGCGCTGCTCGCCCCCCCCCCGCCCCCCACGTCTTCCGGCGGAGCATCCGCTTCCGCCCGGCCTGCGCGGATGGATCCCGCGCGGCAATCCGCCGGTCTCACGGCGAGCGCGACCCTTCCGCCCAGAGACCCCCGCGCGAACAAGCGGGCTGGGTTCGATCGCCGCTTTCCCGGGAGAAATCGGGTGGCCGAGCCCGGGCCTCACGCTGCTGCGGGCGGTCCGGAGAAACCACCGGGGTCGCCCCGCCGACCGCGCCGCTGCGCAGGTCTGCGCGTGCCCAGAGCCACGAGATCGGAAAATGGCAAACTGCAAAGCCGCCCCCCTCGCCCTGCAGGCCCCCGGCGAAGCCGTCTCCGTGAAGGACAGGAAGCTCGTGAAGGGACAGGCGTCCCGCGCGTCCCCGAGGACGGTTGCTCACTGGCACGCGCACAGCTGGGGCCAGCAGAGCAGGGGCCGGAGCTGTGTGTCCGCGGGCCGCCTGCCCGCCCTGCGGGTTTGGGCCCTAACAGGGACCGGAACGACGCAGGGGACGCCCTCGTCTCCTGCCCAGGCGCCTTTCCCGCGCTCAGTGGGAGCGCGCCGGCCCCGGCTGCCACGACGCAGGACCATTTCCTGGAACGAGGAAGCCACGACAAAGAGTCTCGTCTTACCATCTCGGCTGCAGGGTTGCACGCGGCCGCCAGCATCCAGGAGCGCAGTGGGGAGGCGTGTTCTTGGGAAGGGGGCCGTCACAGCCCCCGCCCCCCGCCCCAGGGTCCAGACCCCCGCGGCGGCTGACCCCATCCACCGGCCCCCACTTCCTCCCACGGGCGAGCACGGTCCTGGGCCATCGGACGTTCGCACTTAACAGAAAGTCAGGCTACAACCTTTGAGAAGCAACGCGCAACAGGACCCAATTTTCACCAGTGCAGTCCTCTCCATAACCTCTGCTTGCTGTCCACCGTGTGTCCAGCCGGTGCCCGTCCCTCCTGCTGCACGTTGTAGGTTCGGGGCCCCAGCCTGTCACTACACGTGGAAGCCCCAAGACCTGCCAGGCGAGTGGCCTGAGGGACCGAGCCCTGGACGGACAGTGAGCGCGTCACTCAGCCCTTCTGCGACGTGAGGGGCAATCCCCGGGGCAGGGGCAGGGAGGGTGACCTGGGGACGCACACACCTCGTGCTTCGAAAGCAGCAGAATCCCCTTCTTACTCCTTTTCGATGCCGCGCCCTCCGAGGACCCGGGGACAGGTGGGCGCTGCTGGGCCTGGAGTGAAAAGTTCCAAAAGGAAACTGTCACCGCTCTCAGCCACTGGAGGTCACTACGGGGACACGTTCAGGAGGGATCAGCAGAGACAGGCCTTTGTAGAGTGTGACTCTGAAGTGCCAGTGTGGCCGCGTCCCAGTGTCCGGCGACCTGACCTTGGCCCCGGGGCTCAGGGCCCTGTCACGGGACAAGGCGTCTGCGGAAGCCTGGTGACTGGGGCTCAGGCGAGGGGACACCTGTGCTGACAGACCCACGGCCAACGGTGCCCAGAGGGGACAACGCTGGTGTGAGGGACAGCTGCCCTGGTGGCCGCTGTGACAGGGCACAAGGTCGAGAGGCTGGAAGGGACGGGGTCCCACATGGAGCCCAGCCCGCCCTTCACGCAGGAAAGACGGGGCAGACACCCCACCCGCCCCCTCGGGGGGCCAGCTCCCCGAAACCGGCTCTAAACTTCAGGAAGAGCTGAGGACAGAGTGTCGCTCCTGCTGACGCCTGTGGCAGGAGGGAGCTGGCGCCACGCAATGACACCGAACACCGAGTTGTCCCCTCACGGAGAACACACGCACCCTCGGGCAGAGGGCGGCCGGGGCGCGGACTCCGGGTCAGCTGGCTGCACCTGGCACCCGCCGCGTGAGCCCTGTGGGCGGTGCCCCGGGGCGTCTGTCCTCGCCCACGTGTCTGATGACTCACCGTCACCGTCTCTCCCCCTCGCCCGCGCCCCGGACGCAGCTCGTGCGGGGGTGAGGCTGCTGCATACACAGGGGGCAGTCGGGGGCCTGCGCCTCTGCGCCCACCCAGAGCCTGGGCGGTGAGCACACGGGGGCGCACGCCCCAGACCTGTGACTCCCTGCGGTGGCCCGTCCCTGGGCGCCTCGGAGGGAGACCCCGTTCAAGTTCCTCTCTCGGACCAGGGTGGGGAGAGAGCCGGGCCTCTTCCCGTTCCCTCACCTCCCCCGCCACCGCCCCACCCCCAGGGCCAGCAAGCATTAAACTCTTCAAGATCGGCATTTTCTTTGGGGGGGGGGGATCGGTCCGTCCCCTCCTCTGGGGTCAAATCCAAATGCAGGGGCTGCTGCACGGGCCTGTCTCCTGACGCGCCCACTGCAGGCTAAGGAAGGAGCCCCCGCCCAGCCTGGGGGCCGCGGGTCCTCAGACGTTCAGGGGGCCCCGCTGTCCCGTCGTTTCTCGGAGCGAGGGCCTCTCCGGGCTCCGCGGGGAACCGGGGAACCGGGGACCGGGGACTGCAACGCGCTCCCAGCGGGCCGGCGGGGAGCAGGCCGCCCAGACCCGGTGCGCGCGCGCCCCCTGCTGGCGCAGGGCGTGACCGCACGTGCGGGGAAACCCGGTTTCCAAAGGGGGCGAGGTGCAGCCTCGTGGAAACAGCGATTCGCCTCCAAACTGAACGGACCGGTCGCCCCGGCCCTTTACCCCCGGCCTTCGTCCCGGGGTGTTGACGCCTTTCCGGCGCCACGTGGATGCATCTGCCGTCCCG